TGCACTTCCCCATTGGGGATGGCTGGAGCTTGGCAGGATGGGCGATGGGGAGTGAGGGGGTGGAGTTGGGTTGGAAACTGCAGGTTTGTATGACAGGCATTGTTATTTGCATTCATCTAACACTGCCTACTTTATTTTTTCTTTCCCTTCCCCTTCCCCTTTTTCCTTTCCTTTCCCTCCCCTCACTCCATTGCCCAGGCTAGAGTGCTGTGGCGTCAGCCTAGCTCATAGCAACCTCAAACTCCTAGACTCAAGGGATCCTTCTGTCTCAGCCTCCTGAGTATCTGGGACTACAGGCATGTGCCACCATGCCCAGCTAATTTTTTCTATATATTTTTAGTTGGCCAATTAATTTCTTTTTTTTTTTTTTTTTTTTTTTTTGAGACAGAGTCTCACTTTGTTGCCCAGGCTAGAGTGAGTGCCGTGGCGTCAGCCGGCTCACAGCAACCTCATCTCTTGGGCTCAGCGATCCTCCTGCCTCGAGCCTCCCAAGTAGCTGGACTACAGGCATGCGCCACCATGCCGGCTTTTTTTTGTATATAATATTTTTAGTTGGTCAATTAATTTATTTCTATTTTTTGGTAGAGACGGGGTCTGCTCAGGCTGGTTTTGAACTCCTGACCTTGAGAATCACCCGCCCTCGGCCTCCCAGAGTGCTAGGATTACAGGCGTGAGCCACCGCGCCCGGCCTATACCTTTCTTTATGTGCATATCTGATGTTGTTATTGAGAATTAAAGAATATTCATTTATTGACCATATATTTGTTGAGTTGCTATAGGTGTGAGACGTCATTCTAGGTACTGATAATATAGTTAGAGGAATACCAGACACAAGGTAGGTGCTTAGTAAATATTGACAAATACTATTGTTATTATTGCCATTCATTCAGTCCTTTTCATCTCTCCACCAAATAGCTATTTCCCCTCTTCTTCTAGCAGGTGGGCTCTGTATTTATTAGAGGTAGGGATAGGCTGATTTTATATTTCCAGCATTTTCCACAATTATCTCAATTTGAAATATTTGGTCTTGCTGTATATCCTAATTATGAGTTCAACAAACATGGTCATATAACATTTCTGGATATAATTATTGCTTGTGACATAGTTGGGTCTCTTGAAAAGGTATTTTTTTTAGACTGAGGACTGACAGATTCCAGTGGTAGTTACCATTACTTCTTTGTGATGTGATGACCAGATTTTTAAAAATAATAAATTTTGGGAAACTAAAAATCTTTTGATGGTACATATTAGGATAGAATGAACCTGGATTTGTTCCCCAAATATAAGTGTGAGGGCTAGGGGATGTTCTCTTAAGTTTAAAGAGAAATATTTAATTATAAAAGAAACACTTTTTGATGATAAGAGTGTTGTTGCATATTCTTCTCCAAAACTTACAAGGGTAGCTTGTAGCTAAAGCTTGGTTTTATTAATAGTTGGGTTTTTTGTTTTGTTTTGTTTTAAGAGACAGGATCTTGCAGTATTTCCCCAGGCTGTGGATTCAAACTCCTGGGCTCAAGTGATCTTACTGCCTCAGCCTCCTCAGCAGCTGGGATTTCAGGCACACGCAACCATGCCTGCTGGTAGCTAAATCAGTTTTTTGGACAGTTTATGAATTGGTACATTTGAAATAAATAAAGCTAAGAAATCCCAACCCCCCCATAAGCTCCTAGGAATTACCTTGGTTTAGCTGTGGTTCTTATATAATTAAATTTAAAACTATACCCATCAGGTTTAGAATTATTTTGAATGTGCATTTATGTTAGGTAGAAGAAAATGTATAGAAGTATAGAACTTTACACAGAAGGAATATGAAAATAAACATAGTGCTAATGATGGGTACACAAATTCTATTTACTTACTTTTTAAGGTACCATTTAAAAATTTTTTGTGTGTAAAATGTTTTCATGGAATAAAATGCTTTGAATATGAATATTAAGTTTTCAAAAATTAACATTTCTGCCTTTTATTCTCAAATGTGAATGCTGGCTGGGCTCTGTGGCTCACATGTGTAGTCTTATTAGCACTTGGGGAGGCCAAGGTGGAAGGATCCCTTGAGGCCAGGAGTTTGAGATCAGCCTGGGCAACATAGCAAAACCCCATCTCTACAAAAAGTTTAAAAATTAGCTGAGTGTGGTGGTACACATCTGTAGTTCCAGCTACTCAGGAGGCTGAGGCAGGAGGATAGCTTGAGCCCAGGAGTTCAAGTTCGCAGTGAGCTGTGATTGTGCCACTGCACTCCAGCCTGGTGACAGAGTAAGACCCTGTCTCCAAAAAAAACAAAAAACACAAGCGGATGCCTACTACATGCTTCTGGTGTCAGGCACCAGAAATGCAGAGAATCCTAAGGGTGGTCCCTGAGTGACAACTGCCAGTTTAGGCATCTGTAAAATACTGTGGCTGTGTAGAGGACAGGGATGATCACAGTACAAGAGATAGAGGAGGTCAGAGGTAAACCATCTTGAAGGAAGAAAAAAGGAATAATGTATATAAGGTCATAGAAACAACGGGATGAGACATGGTGATTAAGCCAATTAGGGCCTGAAGATGGGGCTGGCATTAGTCTCATTTAGACGCATCATGGTTTTGGTTGTTCAGGACACTGAACAGGATGGTGTGGGAGACAGGGGTGATGCTTGGCAGCTACCAGCAGACTTCTGAAAGCCCACCTGTGTTTCAGAATGTGTTTTTTTTTCCTTCCGGTTCTCAGTCTCCTTTTTGAGAGAAAGCACAGGAAGGTCAATTAAAACTCCAGCTTAGCTTACCTCACAGCAATAATACTAATAAAAAAGTGGGCTGGGTGCGGTGGCTCACACCTGTAATCCTAGCACTCTGGGTTGCCGAGGCAGGAGGATTGCTTGGGCTCAGGAGTTCAAGACCAGCCTAAGCAAGAGTGAGACCCCGTCTCTACTAAAAATAGAAAGAAATTAATTGGCCAACTAAAAATGTATAGAAAAAATTAGCCAGGCATGTTAACACATGCCTGTAGTCCCAACTGCTCGGGAGGCTGAGGCAGAAAGATTGCTTTGAGCCCAGGAGTTTGAGGTTGCTGTGAGCTAGGCTGACGCCACGGCACTCACTCTAGCCTGGGCAACAAAGTGAGACTCTGTCTCAAAAAAAAAAAAAAAAAGGAAAAGTGCCTGGTAATAAATAGGTGCTCGTGCTGGGAGCTTCTTTAGCTGTATCTGCTCTTGGTACTTCATAATTGTGTTCTGTCTTCCAGATTAGAACTTTGAAAAATCATCCTTTCTTTTTCTTTTTCTTTTTTTTTTTTTAGCCACCTAGAAGTCCTTTACATGAAAAATCATCCTTGATTTTACTCAGCTTTTTTAAAGTAACTGTTTGGCACATGTCTAATATTTTATGTTTATGTATAAATTGACTTAGTACAGCATAGGAGACTAAAAAGGTAACAATAAGTAAAAGAGAAATATATATATATATATATTATTATTATTTTATTTATTTATTTTTTTTTGCGACAGAGTCTCACTCTGTCACCCCGGGTAGAGTTGTAGTGGTGTTATCATAGCCCACTGCCACGTCCACCTCCTGGGCTCAAGTGATCCTCCTGCCTCAACCTCCTGAGTAGCTGGACTACAGGCATGCAACCACGATGCCCAGCTAATTTTTCTATTTTAATAGAGAATGGGCTATTTTCTTTTTAAGTCTAATTAATAATTCAGTGCTGTTTGTTAAATGTTGGTTAACTAAGTTATACATTCGCACAGTACACGAAGCCAGAAAAAAATAGAATGAGGAACGTCTGAAATATAATAAGTGAAAAAAGCAGAGTGTAAACAAGTGTGTCTAATATGCCATCTTTTGTGTAGCTTTTGCTACAGATTTGATGTTTTGTAATGAATTCAACCTAAAATTACATGGCAAAATAGCACTTGTATGCAAAATTTATAATGTAGTAAAATCACTCTAATCAATAACATTGTTTGAATCATAAATAATATCAAGCTGCTTTATACATTTTTCACTCTGTCAGAGGTTAAAACGAAAGCCAGGTGCGATGGCTTGCACCTGTAATCCCAGCTTCTAGGGAGGCTGAAGCAGGAGGATAACTTGAGCTCATGAGTTGAAGACCACCAGCCTGGGTGATGTAATGAGACTCCCATCTCAAAAAACAAAAATTAAAATAAACAAAATCTCCATCCCCACACAGATTTACAGTGGATATGTCCAAGCTTACACTGCAGTTTCAATAGCATTTTTCACACCCTGATACAGTGCAAAGGAAATTTGTTTGTCTCAGAATCTATTCAGTTGCGGAGTTTTCACCTAACTTTCACTTGGAAGAGATTAATCTGCAATGTATTGACATGCTAAAGGAAATATCAGTAGAATAATTTAACAGGATTCTATAAATACCTACTAAGCAATTAATATGTTCAGTTAAACTCATGCTTGTGGATTAACATCAGCATTTGGCAGTTTCTATTTGTGTGAAGTCATTCTCTAAGATAAAATATGTTATAAATAAATATTAACAGGGCAATTAGGTAAGAGAAAGAAACAGGCATTCAGATTAGAAAGGAAATAAGACTGTTTCTAGTTGTGTATGACATGCTCTTGTACCAAATATAGAAAATCCTAAGGAATGAAATGAAGAAAACAATTCCATTTTCAATGCATCAAAAAGAATAAAATAGTTAGGAATAAATTTAACCAGAGAAGTTCAAGCCTTGTACACTAAATACTTTGCACATTGAAAAAAATAAAGATGACCTAAATAAATGAAAAAGCATCCTATGTTTGTGATCAGAAAAGTTAATATTAAGATGGCAGTACTCACCAAACTGTTCTGCAGATTCAGCACAACCCCTACCAGAATCCCAGCTGCCTTTATTGCAGAGATTGACAAGTCCATCCTAAAATGCAAGGGGCCATTTTGTCACTTGCTATGTGTGGCAGGGGAATGTATGGTCCAGTAGGTAGAGCACAGTAGTGGCTGCAACTTGCTGTTCATTTAACCTGGTATGATCTTGTTGTAGGAGAATGACATCTTCCTGGGCTGGGAAAAAGGAGCTTATAAGAAATGGGGAAAGAGTAAGAAAAAGTGTTCAGATTTAACTCTAGAAGAAATGAAAAAACAGGCTGCTGTCCAGTGTCTTCGATCTGCTTCTGATGAAGTAAGTTTGCATTTTATTTCTAATACTTAAGAAAAGAGGGTGTGCTTTAAGTTTACAGATGTAACAACTTGCCCCAAAAAACTTAGGAAAACAGACTACTCATTATCTTACCACTATAACAGAAACATTATTACTTTTTTCTTTATGTTAGTTTTTCATATATTCAAAGTTTTATAAAGTATATTCCTTTATATATGCTACTTTAATTAGAGTATGCACAAAATTTTATATCCTGTTTTTGATTTAACATGTTTCATCCTGTTTTAACATTGTCTTTACTCTTAATGTCTAATTTGCAATTCATCAAATAATATTTCAGCAGCAGTATAATATAATCTTCATTGCTGGATATCTAGGTTGCTCTTGATTTTTTTTTTTATTATGCTATCTAAAATATTTCACGTGTGGTTTTTCTGCATTATTGGGGGGGATATGTTCCTAGAAATGGGATATGAGTTCACACACTTTAAAAGTACTGTTATTTGCATGTGATTCATAATTTCTTTTTGTTTTTTATAAACTATTATAAGATTATTTTATTCCTCTTTTAGCACTTTATATACAATATTTCTCATGTCTTTCAGCATCCTGAAATAACAAAATAATTTTAGAATATTATCATCTATCTAAATTAATATTATGAATTCTGTGTAATCCCTGAGATCATAACTACTTAAAAATTATTTTGCTTTGACCATGCTATTTGAGATAGTGTGGTTTAAGTACTTTTATGATGCAAGGTCAAATTGAGAGGATTTTGACTTCCAGAAACTCTTTTCCTGACCTAAGTTGTTCAAAGGTCTGATGTTGGGATAGCCAGCTTTGCTACAGTTGATAAACCGTGGAAGTTTATTCTGTCTGGCTACCACCTATAGTGTACATGCCTTTTAATACTTACTTGTTCAGTGTTTCCCACCATGGGTTTTCATCCAACTCAGAATTGTCTATGTCAAAGCCTGGCTTTCCTGGCCATGTACTCAGGGTACCTGTGTATACCTCAAATATTTTGGCTGTCACATCCTAAATTACAATTGTTTGTTTGACTGAGCTCATTGGGGCAAGGTTTGGGAGTTAATGGAAGTTACCCATCTTTTTTTTTTTTTTTTTTGAGATAAGAGTCTTGCTCTGTCATCCAAGTTTGAGTGCAGTGGGATGGTAGCTCACTGCAACGTCAAACTCCTGGGCTCAAGTGATTCTTCTGCCTCAGTCTCCCCAGTAGCTGGGAATACAGGTGTGCACCACTACACCCGACACATTTTTCTATCTTTAGTAGATACAGGGTTTCACTCTGGCTCAGGCTGGTCTTGAACTCCTGAGCTCAAGTGATCTTCCTGCCTCAGCCTCCCAGAGTGCTAGGGTTATGGGTGTGAGGCACAGTGTCTGGCCTATGTGTCTTTTTTATTTCCTACTGGCTGGTAGAGTGAGTGCTTATCACATAGAAGATACTGAATTTCTCTTCAGATGAATCTAATATTCATTTATTTAAAAAGCCTACCTGTTACGTCTGATCCTTTTTCCTACTCCCAACTGTTTTCCTTCCCCCACCCCTTTGATTTTTTTAACCTCTGAATTTCTTAATGCTGCTATCTCATACACTATGGGCTAGGAGTTTGGAAGTTACTGCTTATACCTTTAGTCAGGTACCATTTCATGACTGCAAGAAGGAACGTAATTAGCCTAGTTTAGAAAAAATATAAATATATATAAAGGATCTAGGGATATCTTACTGAAACCAGGTTGTTAGAAGTGTAACAGCCTTAGGAGGGGCCTGAACGGGGAATTATAGGATGGGCAGACAAAGTCACTTTCTGTAATGACTCACAGTCTCTCATTTGCTTCTCTCCCTGTGTCTGGGTCATTCTCTCTCTGAACTCTGGCTTTCTGTGCTTTAGTACACATGTGACGAAGAGTGTCGATTCCAGCCCAGTATGACCCCTGAACTCTGCAGTCTGGCACCATCTAGAGAGAGAATCTGATTGGCTGGGCTTGAGCCGTGTTTCACCCTGATTTGATAAACCATGCCACTGCGCAGGAAGGGCTGCCTGGAGGTCTGTCCCTTTAGCAGGGGCTGCAAATGATAGGAGGTCTGCAGAGAAAACTGTGATTAGACAGTAACCCAAATGGTGTTTTCTTCATGACACTCAAGGAGTAGATTGATAAAATTGGAGCTTTTAAAGGAATTCAGATGCAGATGGGTTTTTTGGTGAGATAAGGTTAGTTCAGGTAAATTCTTTGAGCAAAATCCAAAGAAGCTGCTGAGTCATGGTTGGAAGGAAAATATGAGTAGGACAATTTCAATCTCAGAAAGGGTCTTGTTTCTTTTTTGGATCAAAGTTGCTGAGAAATGACTCTAATCTTCAACTCACAGTGAAGCTGAGTAAACAACAAGAACAGCTGAAATCAACTGTGAAAAAATGAAGAGTATAAAAACCTTATAAGGATAATGCAAGACCCTACGTATAGCTTGTTTAATTTGTGTATAGTTCATGCTAGGCGACTATGCTGTGTTCTCAAAAGAACTTGGTATTAGGTAGAAACGGTGCAAGGGAAGGATAGTGGTTTGCAAAGATGTTTGATTCTTTAGGTTATTGCTTTGCACAATGTATAATAATATATTATTATTATATATATTATATATAATTATATTATATTATTATATATTATTTAAATTTATTATTATTTTTTTGAGACAGAGTCTCACTTTGTTGCCAGGGCTAGAGTGGAGTGCTGTGGTGTCAACCTAGGTCACAGCAACCTCAAATTCCTGGGCTCAAGCATCCTCCTGCCTCAGCCTCCTGGAGTAGCTGGGACTACAGGATGCGCACCATGCCCGGCTAATTTTTTTTATTATATTATTGGCCAATTAATTTCTTTTATTATAGTAGAGACAGAGTCTTGCTCTTGCTCAGGCTGGTTTTGAACTCCTGACCTTGAGCAATCCGCCCGCCTTGGCCTCCCAGAGTGCTAGGATTACAGGCGTGAGCCATCGTGCCCGGCCGGATTTTTATTTTTGACTCTAATAAAGCATACTTGTCCTATCTTGTTTTTCTCATTTTATAAAAAATTACTGCATTGATTTGTCCTAATAATGATTTTTTTTAAATCTTATCAAATTTAAATTGATTGAGGAAATGAATGTGTCAGCCATATACCAGGTGCTCAGTGATTACTTATGGAATGCATGAAGAGAAAGTCCTCAAGTCCCAGTTTCTTACTTCAGAGTCACATGCTGTTGTGTGTGCATCAGTCTACAGATCCTAAAACCAGCTCTGCTGACTCTTGGGAAGCCAATGGAAAGAACTTGAACAGAACCATCTCTGATTATTGCCTGAAGCAATAGAAAGAATCAATGTGGTACTTTATGAATTGTAGGCTATCTGTATCTCTTGGTTTAAAAAAATTTAGAATTTATCTGTTGGTTTTAATGGAAGGAAAGAATCAAGGAGGACCTGCATAGGAAATTGTAATGCAAAGTTTTATTTTATGTTTTGGCTACAACGAATGTTTGCATGTAAGTAGGTTGCTCATTTCGTGGGATACTGAGGATGGTAATGTTTGTGGTATTGTGCTATGCTTTCCCACCCAGTTTAAATGTCCTTTTACAGCTCTTCTCAGTAAAGTCCTTAGACAGTCACTACCAGCTAATCACAAAAACCACTGATAATTCAAGTTTACAATCTAGTAGATTAAAATGTTAATGACAGTTACATGATGATAATATAGACAGTTATATTAGTTATAGGTAGGTAGGAAATAGTGGGGATGGTATGCATCACATGCAAGATGAATTCTTTTCTTAAGTTTGTATGACTATTATAGTTAAAATTTGAACGATTTCTGTAAAAAAAAATCCATAGTTATCAGACTATCCACTATGTCATGGTTTAAGGAGAATGGCTTACTTCTGACTCCACTTTTACATTCTTGAATATTGCACTGTATCTCCACTTTATCCTTGTAATAAGTTGAACCCCATATTACAGCATATATCTTGACCCGCCCAGCTCAAAATTTTATTTGAGAGACATTGCCAAGACAGTATGGCAACTCACTGTGTCAGTAGTTGGTGACTATTTATTCCCCCAGGGAATGTGGCCTTTGATGGGCTTTGTTGGTTAGTAGGTCCCAGCTGAAACTGCCTTTGCTAATTCCATTTTCATTTACACATGCAAATAACATACAAGTATTTAGGTATTCATTTTCTATAATATGCACTTGCAAATACATAGATAAGCATTTAGTTTGGCTGCAGGTAGTAATGGGGTCTGTTGAAGAGGTGCTGTGATTCATTAATAAGCAACTCAGGCCGGGCGCGGTGGCTCACGCCTGTAATCCTAGCTCTCTGGGAGGCCGAGGTGGGCGGATCGGATCGTTTGAGCTCAGGAGTTCGAAACCAGCCTGAGCGAGACCCCGTCTCTACTATAAATAGAAAGAAATTAATTGGCCAGCTAATATATATAGAAAAAATTAGCCGGGCATGGTGGCGCATGCCTGTAGTCCCAGCTACTTGGGAGGCTGAGGCAGGAGGATTGCTTGAGCCCAGGAGTTTGAGGTTGCTGTGAGCTAGGCTGACGCCACGGCACTCACTCTAGCCTGGGCAACAAAGTGAGACTCTGTCTCAAAAAAAAAAAACAGGCCGGGCGCGGTGGCTCACGCCTGTAATCCTAGCTCTTGGGAGGCCGAGGCGGGCGGATTGCTCAAGGTCAGGAGTTCAAAACCAGCCTGAGCAAGAGCGAGACCCTGTCTCTACTATAAATAGAAAGAAATTAATTGGCCAACTGATATATATATATAAAAAAATTAGCCGGGCATGGTGGCGCATGCCTGTAGTCCCAGCTACTCGGGAGGCTGAGGCAGAAGGATCGCTGGAGCCCAGGAGTTTGAGGTTGCTGTGAGCTAGGCTGACGCCATGGCACTCACTCTAGCCTGGACAACAAAGTGAGACTCTGTCTCAAAAAAAAAAAAAAAAAAAATAAGCAACTCAAACCCTCCCTCAGATG